TACTGCGTGCTGTCTCTGTCTCTGTGGTTTAGCTATGTCTCAGTGTCTGTCACTGTTTCTGTCTTCTGTCCGCTCTCTCTTTCTCTCTGCTACGTCTCTCTACTATCATAACTTAAAGAGACCGCCGTGGGCAGTGTAAGATCAGGCTAGCGCACCCACTCCAGCGCTGTACGTATCCACTTCAGCGGCACGCTTTAATCCCTTGGACAAGATCCTGAACATTTTTTGCACGAGCAGCTAAACAGAATATGAGATTTGGTGTAGAGGGGGGACGATTTACGCGAACGGGAGCGGCCCCCTAGCTGTGATCTTTGGCTCGCGTTACACCAGCAGCGGCTCGCTGGTGTCACGAACCGTCTAGCATCTTTCTCAGCTATCGAGCAAAGTCACACGCATTGCTCCTCTTTCCTCCACCTCCCCATAATCTCTAAGGCTTCAAGCCGCCACGAGAAGGTATACCACAACGTAGCTCTAGTACTATAGCCCGTGTTGCCACAGGGCATGGGCCTGTGGCAACAAGGGCTATAGTACTAGAGCAACCACAACACAGCCGGACACCCGCCGTAGATGACGTCATAAAGATCAGCGGGAATGAGTCACCGCTCTAATTACTCGCATCCTCCTGAGATGCCAGCATCGCCCCCAGGCCACCGTCATCCATTGCGCTTACTCCACACAAGGGCCGGACCCAGGCGCCCTGACGACTGTGTCCAGCCGATAATCATTAGTAGTCATGACGTCGTTGGCGTTTAGCAGCGATCATCGTGAGATCATCAATGATGACCTTAACGGCGTCACCTCTAGCGTGTTATTACGACGTCGTTACGCAGCGGACATGTTGCGCGTAATAGCATTCGCGATAGCCCACCTCTCCGTCTACACGGCACCCATTAACGACAACAGGAAGGACGCACGTACATTGCACACGCACACGAACACGTACGTACACGCGCGCACACCGAACAGGCCACACACAGCACAACACACACACACACACACACACACACACACAGCAACACACACACACACAAACACACACACACACACACAACACACACACACACACACACAACACACACACACACACACACACACACACACACAACACACACAAACACACACACACACACACACCCACACACACCACACACACCACACACACACACACACACACACACACACACACACACACGACAACACAACAAACCAACGCGCACACGACACACGCCACACACACACACGACAGCACACACACAGCCACACACACCACACACCACACACTGAACACACACACACACACACACACACACACACACACACACACTACATACACACTACATGCACACACACTCTCACAGCACACACACACACACACAGCACAACACACCACACACACACACACAACACCACACACACACACACACGACACACACACACATACACAACGCACCACAAACACACACATCACACACACACACACCACCACACACACACCACACCACCGTGGGCCCCGATCAGGCGGCCAAACAACGATAAAGACAGGGAACACTCACTACCACCACTACCACCACCACCACTCGAGCGAGACAGGAGAGCGTGTAAGGAGAGGCATTATCCCATTTCTCCCGACGTTTCCTCTCTCAATTTGCCGCTCCGCTGGATCGCGCAGGCGAGAAAAAACGAGGGACGCCGGCCAGCAGCAGCAGACACATTAGCGCAAGCAAACACCCGGAGGAAGCGAGGACGCCTGAAGACAGACGAACGAAAAATGGTAGGATAGGGTGAAATGGAGGAGGGAGAGCGTCTACAAAATATAGCCCACACCCGCATGTCTGGCTGGGACAGCTTGATCGTTAGACAGGTGGGTAATAATCCACTTTATAGGTGCGCGCATGCGCACGCGTACCGCCAGCAGGTGTCGCTATATGAGGCTCGACAGCAGACGATAAACTATAACTAGCTAGAGAAGCGCACGCGGGGGGAAGCTTTGTCGGATTAGGCCAGCGGGGAAATCTATCAGAATTGCAAATCTCCCTCGCTGATCATGAAATGCAGTGTGAGTGCAGCTGCATCTGCCGATAGACTGCAGGCCAGAGAGTAGCAGAGAGAGATGCGGAGGGAAGGAGGGACGGCGTGGGAGACCGAGAAAGAGACCGGAAGATGGCGGGCAAGAGAACGTGCACACCGCGAGCGTAGAGCGGAGAGGAGAGAGAGAGAGCGGAGGGAAGGAAGGGAGTGTGGGAGAGAAAGAGCCGGAAGAGCGGGCAAGAGAGCGAGCAAGCGAGCGAGAGAGAGAGAGAGCGGAAGAAAGACGCCGGAAAGGCAGCGGCGGCAAGAAGAGCGCGAGCAATCCGCGAGCGAGAGAGAGAGAAAGGAACGAAAGATAAATGAGAGAAAGCGCGGATAGAACTGAGCGAGCAAGACAGGGATAGCAGAAGAGACGAGAGAGCGAGAGAGAGAAAGAGGGCAGCGCCGAGAGGCAAGGGGGACTACGGGCGAG